CGGGGGGGCTGTGCGATGTAGCAAGGGCCCCACCATGGCCAGGCCCAGGGGCTTGACACAGAGCCTGGCCGCCAGCACCCAGAGGAGGGGGCAGTCGACCGGCACACGCAGCGCTGATGCCCACAGGGGCTTCCCTCTCGCGGGAGGATGGCCAGGGGTGAGGGCTGCATGTGACCCAGCTCCTAGCACCTCGTGACAGCAGCCGACTGGCATTCGGTGGGCGCAGGAGGCGTCGGAGCCGTTTCTCTGGCCCCCAGGGGACTGGCCTAGGTGTGTCGCCCGGGTGGGCGTCCCTCACACGCCTGGTTTCGAAGGCTCAGGGGAAGATCTCCTTGGACTGCTATGACGGGCGCGTGCCTCACAGGCCTGAGCCAAACGAGGCAGGAGACTTCTACGGTCTCCTTCCTGGCGCCCCGAGCGGGGCCAACCCGCTGCAGGACCACGAGGGTTTAGATGAGAGCTGGGCCTGACGGCTCTGAACTGCCCCGAGACAGGGCGGGAGGTGAATTCCTCCGGCCTTCTGGCTTTCAGCAAATATGGAGCCTCTACGGCCCTGAATTCCAGCCCGTATGAAGGGCAGGTCTCTGTGCATCCCCCCGCTCGCTGGACTCTGGGATGGGCGGCCCATCAGGCCACCTCGGTTCTGCTGGGGCTGGCCCAGCCTGGCCGTTATCAGAGCTCTGCTATACCTAGAAACGCTGCGTTTATCCCCCGAGCGCCACAGACAGGGACCCGACGGTGCGAGCGTCTCCTGGCTGTTACTTTGAAATGTTTGTAATGACCGAAACGCACGGGCGGACCCTGCAGCTTGGTTTCACAATCTGCGGCCGTGCACCAAATACCGGAGGGAACGCAGCGGCTGCGGCATTTCATAGCAACATTGGGTTGCGTGTTGTATGACTTGCACGCAGCGATAGCTGATCCCCAGCATGCACCCCGCTGCTGCCCAGCACACACACGTCTGTGCTCAACGGAAAGCACACCCACTTGAAATAAACCAGAAGGAAGTGGTTTTACCTTCCTCAGTAACTGATACGTGGCTGGGGAAAAAACCAGGTTACAGTGTAAAGCGCATGACATCGAGTCAGATTTCCCTTTCTACAAGCCAGGGTTGGGAAGACGCCATGAAGAGGGCCAAACGCTAGACCTGTTGTAACAGCACCAGTTTGTCTGCTAATAGTGCAAATGGCCGTATATCTTTAAGTGCAGGAGTGTGACCACTCCTAAACTGCAAACTATACTAATCCGTAAAGAGCCGGAGCATCTGTTGGCTTTCGGCAAGAATGGCGCCTCTGGAATGGTCGCTCATGGTTGATGGGGAGAAATAAAATACTGTCCGACCTATTTTCTTGCTCAGTTTTATTCTCGTAGCAAAACAGACTTTTCTCTATGGCAAGTACATATGGGAAGAGCACAAGGGTATATTTCAGGGAACAAAGTTGGGGAGAAGAGTGTCATTAATAAAAGCACAAACCTTCCTTGTATGTGTCTATAATCACATTTCTTCAGTCGTGTTTACTGTGTCAATTACACCCCCCCACGCCCAGAGCCAGTGTACATATTGTTTGAGTCTAGCGACCCCAATGCAGCACAATGAAGAAAAGCGGGACCGTGCAAGATGCCACCAAACAGTCCTCACACCGGTCCAGGGGCGTTTCGCACACTCGTCCCACCTCGAACTCTCAGGTAGAAGCGGCTCTAGTTATTGATTAGATGCTGGGAAGATTCAAGATTCAGGGTTGGGATTTTCAGCTAAAAGGCCAGGGAAGCACAACACACAGAGATTTCCACGGCCCTGATCTTGCTTATAGGTGCACAATGGGGCCCCGTTTCTGCATCTTATATACATGCCCACAGTCAGACCCACCGAGGAAGGGAGGGAAGGGGCAGTTATCTCGGGCCCCGGCAATTCTAATGGGCCCAGGACTCCTAGCTGCTCCTACGGCCGTGGCAGTCGTCAGAACCCCGGGCCATTTAGAATCGCCATGGGAAATCTCTCTCTTATACCCCGCCCATTATGCCCAAGACTCCGCCCCTTTTGGGCATGTAGAGACACGCCCCCACTGCCCAAGGGCCCCGTAATTCTGTCAGCTCCCCCGCCCACACACAGCCAGTGAAGCTGGTGTCAACACCCCAAGGGTTCCGAGAAAAAATAGTTCCTTAATGAAGGAGACCCTCCAATAAAGATGGCGGAGAACTGAGAAGCTGATGTCAGAAGAACTAGGGTCCGTCTCTTCCATTCAGCCCTCTTGCTTTAGGAGCTCAGATCTTCCTTTCCAAATACCGAGCTATACTGTACAGAGCTAAACAGGAAAAAAAAAAAAAAAAAAAAAAAAAAAAAAAAAAAAAAAGGAGAACCAAAAACCCTTAAAACCACCCACCCCCGACAGCAAACAGCACAAAATCACTTCTCCGTCTGCGTTTATTGCTGTGCTGGCACAAAGTCTGTCCAGATGAGACAATTGAAAATAACTGCTGCAAGACACTGAAAGGAGAACTTTTAAATCTTCACGAAGAAAGATAACACCCCAATACAAAAAAATTACTGAAACCTTCCTCCCATGCGAGCTCACACCACTTCCCATGAACACACACAGTGATGTTTTCCGGCTTCTATTTCTGGTCCCAAATCAGGAAGTTTACGATTAAGATTAACGTATGTTGAAGCATCGGATTAAAAAAGACGACATTTAAAAAGTCCATTTGATTTGCTGTGTTCCGGAGGCCCCTGCCACTTATTAAAACGGAAAGAATTAAAATCTAATTTACTTGATCTCAGGATGATGTGGCTTTTCAGTGGCCAAGCTGAGCGACATGCGCGCTGTGAATAGGCCAGTCAGTTTCCGGTTTTAGTCAGTTTCTCATCAGCCAAACTTTCCCAAGCTCACGCACAATTAGGCTTGTAAACACTGCAGGGGGTCTTAAGATTTGTAAAAGCTTATTTAAAACAGACAACCTCCTGAACACATTGGCACGGCTGTTTCCCAGTAATAATCACCCCGAAAAATGATTAGTAAGAACCAAACTGATTACGCTGATGGGCCCTCTCGAGGGTAGCCCCTGTCGTGGCGCGTTCCAGACCGTCCGCCTCTCCGGGGCCGCGGCTCAGACGGCGACGCTGTTGGGGATGCGATCCGGGGAAAGGTAATAGTAGGGCAGTTTTTTGTTCTTGTTCCGTTCAGTGATGCCGCTGACGATCTCGCCGAGGTCCTTGCTGAATTTCATTATGGCCTCTTTTACTGGCTTCTCCACGAAGTGCTCGTCGGGGTACACGCCCAGGAACAGCTAACGGCAGGAGACACAAAGCGATCGCGCTTGGGGCAGGCTGGAAAGAAACCCCAAAGGCCCAGAGTGTACAGCAGGGTTGGGGGGTCCCTGGCGTGAGGGAGTGGGGAGGGGAAATAGGGGTGCGGAGTCTGACCCTGCTATGAGGGGCCAGGGAAATCAGGGCACAATGGGATGGGGGCCCCCCAAGATTGGAGGGGAAATAGAGGTACAGTGGGTGGGGGGGTCTGGTTCTATAGTGAAGTGCCAGGGAAACTGAGGCACAGATGTACAGCAGGGTTGGGGGGTCCCTGGCGTGAGGGAGTGGGGAGGGGAAATAGGGGTGCGGAGTCTGACCCTGCTATGAGGGGCCAGGGAAATCAGGGCACAATGGGATGGGGGCCCCCCAAGATTGGAGGGGAAATAGAGGTACAGTGGGTGGGGGGGTCTGGTTCTATAGTGAAGTGCCAGGGAAACTGAGGCACAGAGGGGTGGGGGCATTCCTTGGTGTGAGGGGTTGGGGAGGGGAAATCATGGTATGGAGGGGTGCGGGGGCCCAACCCTGGAGCGAGGGGCCAGGAAGACCAGGGCCCGGCTGTCAGGCCCCTGAGAGAACCGACCACGGCCTGGGACTTACTTCATTTTCCTGGAACTGGCTTAAGGCCCAGACGGCGCCGAGGTGCCAACAGGAGCGCCCCCTGTCCGGCAGGCTCTCCACAATCTGCTCGATGGTGACCGTCCCCTTTTCCGTGGGGGGAGGCTGCCGCATGGTCGGGGGGGCGTTGGGAATCCAGGAGCACCAGTCATACTGAGCGACACAAGACACAGCACGAGAGGGCCATGAAAAGCACGGCCAGTGACATGGGGGGATGTCCCGGACGCAGCGTTTCTGGAGCCGCCGCGCCCCAGGAGACTAGAGAGACAAGGTGGGTGAGGTCGTATCTATCATTGGACCCGCTTCTGCTGGCCAGAGAGACAGGCTCTCCCGCTCACACAGAGCTCTCTCTCGCGGGGCACCTGAAGAAAACTTCTGGTAAGATCACAAGCTGGTCTCTCTGGCCAACAGACTGTGGTCCAAGATGTGACCTCGCCCAATCTGGCCCTCTGCTACCCTGGAGTCAACACGGCTACAGCACCATCGCCTAAACCAGGGGTGAAGAACCTTTCTTGGGTCGGGGGCAACTGACCACAGAAAAATCAGTCAGGGGCTGCACACAAGTGACAAGCAAAATCTATCCATCTATCTATATATCTCCAAATCCCCCGTCTATCTATCTAGCCACATAACCCCACATCCCCTATCTATCTATCTATCTATCTATCTATCTATCTATCTATCTATCTATCTATCTATCTATCACCACACACACTATCTCTCTCTCTCTCTCCACACCCCCCCATCTATCTATCTATCTCCACACACACCATCTATCTCTCACTCTCTCTCTCTCCACACCCCCATCTATCTATCTAGCTATCTATCGGTCTGTCTCCATATCCCCACACCCCTATCTATCCAGCTATCTATCCCTCCCTCACTGACGTGGCCCCCGACTGAGGAGAAAGACACTCCCCCTATTCTCCTCACACACCAGAACCTAGGGGGACCCAGCCTAGTAGATTTTGTGTGCTCCTGCCCCATGGTGGGGCAAGGGTGGTGATGGTGGAGCACCAGCACGGGCTCTCCATTGCTGGGGGTAGCCCTGAACCTTGGGGGCCAGATTCAGGCAAGCTGAGGGCCTGAGGTTCCCCACCCCTGGTCTATACGAAAACGGTTGCATATAGTCAAAGCCAAGGAAGACTGGAAGCTTTCCAGTCTCTCCAGAATGGAGGTGCACTAGCCTGGGACGTTTGGGATACTGACATACTGACACCACTTGCTTTAGTGTCACTTTCACTATATGCCAGGCACAATTTTTAGTAGGGTTCTGCCAGGCCAACACACTGAGTCTGTCTCTATGAAGAAAGTGTGTGTGGGTGTGTGTGTGTGTGTGTGTGTGTCGGGGGGGGGGGTATGGAAGGCTGGGGGTTAGACTCGGGTCAGTGACTTGAAAGACCCCTTGTCACTTAGCGCAGCTGCTATTTACTAACTTTAAAACCATGTGGGCCTTGGCTGTCCCTCACAGTTAAAAGCTAGCGGGGTTTTAACAAGGATTAAACGAGCTACTAAGGGGCATTTCCAGTCTGGCTGGTTAACTGGAGTTGACGAGCTGAGTTTAGGTATTTTTCCCTTCCCCTTCTCCCTTCTTTTTCTGTTATTTATTGCGAGGTTCCCGCTCTTTTCTCCACTCTCGTTGGAGGAAGTGGGTTTTGCCCGCGAACGCTCACGATACTATACGCACGTTTTTCTTAGTCTCTAAGGTGCCACAGGACTACTTGTTGTTGGTTGTTTTTAAGTTACAGGCTAACACGGTGACCCCCGGAGACTTTTAGCTGAGTTTAGGAAAGCACTTTTTTTTGGGGTAGGCCAGACAGACCTGCGGGAAGATGATTCCAGTCTGGTGCGACTCAAACCTGGCTTTAATTTAGTTATTTAGTTGGAATTGGTCCTGCCTAGAGCAGGGGGCTGGACTTGACCTTCTGAGGTCTCTTTCAGTTCTATGATTCTATGATTTGTTCCATGTAGGAGATCAGGGGAGATTATTATACAGTCTATTTTGTAAAGCTATTCAGTGTCGGAGGGAAAAACAGGATCTGACAGGTGAGCTGTTTTGTGGTGACTTCCCGGCCAGCACAGGGCATGCTGGGATATTTCTATACCAGGGAGGGGAGGGGGTGACCATGTAGCAGGGTGAGCTCCACTGTGGGATTTCTAAACCAGCCTGGGCCTCAGGAAACTCCCATGGGCTGAGATCCGCCTCACTGAACTGTGGGCATTGAACTTTGGAAAATGTTACCCAGCATGCCCCAAGAGCCTAAATCCCATTGGCTCTCCATGGAACGACGCCTTCTAAGCGCCCTCTGGCAACAGGCCTTGGGCACGCTGGAAAATCTTGCCCATACTCTGAACTTTGACACCACAATGGGACTCACGTTGGGCACCAAAATCCACAGTTAGGCAGGGAAACAAGTGCCCCCCCCCCCCAAAAGACGTCACGGTTCCCCTGGACTTTGATGACACTTGCAGGTGGCTGGGGGGGGGCATGGAAGGGCAGCTGAGTGTGTAACCGGACACTTAAAACAACGCTTCCCACTCCTCCAAGCCCCTGCAGCCGCACACCCCAGCTGAGAGGAGCACTGCTCTGGCAAAGGAGAAATGTGTGTGCCCCAGGCAGGAAATGAAGGGGTTAACGAGGGCCCAAGAAGCCACGGGAAGGATGAGCCAGGCTTAGTTCAAGGTGAATCGCAGCTGGGGAGAAGGTGGCCGGTTGCTTTAAAGACGGGCAGGCCGGAGCAGAAAGGGGAAACTCTGCAGGCACCCGCCGGCCTAACGAGCGGCGACAGCTGGAGGATCAACGAGGAAGTCTGGGGGAAAGTTGGCCTTGGGCTACACTCCGGAGTAGGGAAGTCTGGCTAGAGGCCCACAGGTGCAGCAGGCTCTGACGGGAGCTCTCATAATAGGGCAAGATCCGGATTTCCGGGGAGAGAGCCCTGGGAGGCATTTGACAGGAACAGAAGGTCACGTCTGAGGAGGGCAGAAGCTGGTTTGGAAGAATCGGCTGTTGGTCTGGGCTTGTACTGGGGGGCGGGGGGCGTTCACATGGGAGCACTGGCCCTGAGAGAAGAGTGAACCCGGGGACACAGTAGGATGAAGCCCAGGGAGGAAGCCGGGGTGGCTGGAATAGACAGACCTTCCCTGCTCATCAGAGGGTCCCTTGTTTGGAAGGTCCCTGAGGAGAGAGAGAACCTGGAGTCTCCTGGGGAACGGGGCAACGGAGCCCCTCAAGATAAGGGGGTAGGGACACCAGAAAGCCCTGAGCCAAGCGTGTGCAAGGACCTCATGCCCCAGCATCCGGGCCATAGGACAGGCCCATAAGCATATAGGACATTTCCTTGTTAGATTCTCCAGAAGGCCGGGGACTAAACAGGACGTGACCAAGGGCTTCACGTCAGAAGAGGCAGGCCACTGTGGGACTGGGACGACTGTCTGCAGGAAGCGCCCCGTGAGCAGAGAGCTGCTATTCCACACCCGGCCATGAGGGGGCGCTCCAGCAATGAGCCCAACTCTTTTGCACCCGTACCTGACCGAAATTGACAGCGGCGTGCTGGGCTGACGCGGTGAATATCGCCACGGTGAGATATTCCGATAGCTTCTCGCGGGTCTTGATGGTCTTTGGAAATCCTGAAAGGCAGCGGAGAAGAAAGCCGGAAATGAGGTTTGCATCAGTTGTGGCACACCGGGGTTATCGGCCCGTGGTAGGTCATGTGGCAGCCCGTGGCTTTCTGTTCCTGGCTCCCGCTACGGAGCTGCCTGGGTGGCCGCTGTCTACACTGTCTAAACGTGCCAGCTGTCTACACTGGCCGCTTGAATTTCCGCAAAAGCACTGACTTCCTACTGTAAGAAATCAGTGCTTCTTGCGGAAATACTATGCGGCTCCCGTTCAGGCAAAAGTCCCTTTTGCGCAAAGCTTTTGCGCAAAAGGGCCAGTGTAGACAGCTCAGATTTGTTTTCCGCAAAAAAGCCCCGATGGCGAAAATGGCGATCGGGGCTTTTTTGCGGAAAAGCGCGTCTAGATTGGCCACAGACGCTTTTCTGCAAAAAGTGCTTTTTCGGAAAAGTGTCCGTGCCAATCTAGACGCTCTGTTCCGCAAATGCTTTTAACGGAAAACTTTTCCGTTAAAAGCATTTGCGGAAAATCATGCCAGTCTAGATGCAGCCAGAATGATTTAAACCCAGCCAGGACTGCCGTGTCTCCAAGGAATTCAGGGCATGGACGCGGACTGAATAAAGAGACGATTGGAAGTAAGTAAAAGGGCTAAATGAATCTAGTTGCCTTCAGGGTATTTTTTTTCTTTACTTTGTGGTTTGGTTTGAACTGCTCTGTGTGAATCTCTGCCTCTCTCCCTATTCACCTTCTCACACTGGGCCCGGAGACTTTTCTCTGTGTTTTCATTTGCTTTCCTTAGTGGCTCTGTAACATCTAGCAACCAAGTCTGCTTTGTCAAGCTTATCTCTTGTTTGGTAATAAAAATCAATTTTTAAAGGGGATGATTGGATTCTTGTGTCCGGGAAGGTCTGTCTGCGGGTATCTGCATGACTGACTTAGGGTCAGCTACCAGAGACTACAGCTTGTTTTCCTCTTTTCTTTTTTCAAGCTTGTTTAGGGTCAAAGAGTTTGGGGTATCCCTAGGAGTGTGTCCAAGTGTTCACCCCTGGTTTTGTTAGGGATAAAAGTCAGTTGATGGTGGCAGCGATCCCCAAAATCTGGGTATTGTGATTCCGGGGGCAAGTTTTTGTAACCAAAAGAGGCAAAGTTTTTTTTTTTCTTTTGAGCTCTTTGTGGGCCCCCATCTTCTGCACAGCTGCTGAGTGTGGTTCACTGTCCCGTGGCATGGCACTTAGACTACACAGAGAGAAAGAACAAGCTTGCTCTGCACCCTTAGCTCAGAGCCGCCTGGCTTGAAGCTCAAGAGGTTGCAGGTTCGGTTCCGCCTGTTGGCGTTACGATAGTACTTCCTAAGAATCTGTATTTCTGCATTATCAGTCCTGTTCTTGACTGTGAGCAGGTCCTGTTGCACACCAGGCCTCCGATACAAGGGCCTATGTCTCAGGCTTTCACGCCAAAGCACAACTCAAACAGGGCACCACCTCACCAGAGTAACCCCCGTGGCGCTAGGTCTAAAAAGAGGCAAAGTGTGGTGAGCAATGACCCAGCAGCCAGAGGAACAATGAGGCAGGACTAGCTTAGGCAGCATCTAAGTGAAGGTGAGAGACGGGGGAAGGACAATTCTGAACCCGCGCTGGGGACTCAGGAAGGAGGAACAGAAATATTCACGTGGGGCACCCTTATGGCAAGGTATAACCTGGGGTGCGCTGCGGAGAGGTCTCCTCCGCTGTGCCCTGCCCCGCTTTCGTTCACCTATGGGAGACAGCTGGGGGGAGACAAGGGAGAGGGGGCGGGGCTCCCGTGCAGAATGCCCCTCCCACCAGCACAGATTTCCCCACCCTTCCTGGAAGCCACCTCCTGGAAGGTGGATACATGTATAGGGTGGTGAGACCAGAGTCGCATGACCCGTGGGAGCGCCAAATCCAGCCAGCTGCTTTCCAAGAAGCAGAAGGTGAACCCGGCTTTGAAGGCCTTGCGAGGGCCGCCTCTCCCCGAGCGTGGAATAACCGTCATGGCCAGGCGGCGGCGCCCCACACTGAGTGAATCTGAAGGGCACCGCTCCCCCCTGCTGTACACACAGGAGCTGAGGGACAGAGAGTTTAGAGCCCAGATCTCCTGGGTTCCAGCCCGGTGCCTTAGCCAGAAGGGGTCCTGGAGGGAGAGTCCCACAAGGCTCTGGGATGTGTGGCTCTGAGGGGTGGTTGGCACCCGACCCATCTGACACAGCTCACCGGAAGACTTGTTGCCCTTCATTCCGTAGACGTAGACGTCCTTGACGAAGGCCTGGAGCTCCACGTCCTCGCACACGACCTCGTCGCTCTCGTAATAGATATCAATCACGTCCGCCGTGAAGCTGCAGCCGCAGCGAGGCAGCAAAGGGTGGGAAGGAAAGGCCCTGTTATTTCTTGTCAGAGAGGACTCCAAACGCAGCCACACCCTTCCGACCTGGCCTTTCTCCCCGGGCAGGTGGCCCTGGAGGGTGCTGGGCTCCATCATCTCAGAGGGCTTCACCAATGTCAACATGACTTGGTTGGGGAGTCCTTCTAGGAGCTCCGAGTCATCTGCAGCCCTGGCATTACCTCTGGCCTTCCCACTCCACCGTCAGCCCACCCAGACATCGCTCCAACCCCCCCACCCCTAGTCTTTGACTCCTCCCATTCAATCTCTCCATCAAGTTTGCATTTCTTGCCCTCCCCTTTGAGGCCTAGGTCTTCGATGACATGTCTTCACACTCCCTTCATTCTGCCCAAACCTCCTTTCTCTCCTCCTCCACCTGGCACTCCCTCCACCCCTGGGCACTAAACAATCATCCTCTCTCCCTTCCCACAGGTCCATCAAACTCCCTCCCTCAGCCAGGGCTGCGCACGCGAAGTGCTCTTAAAACCCTGCAGCAGCCGGAGAGAAAGCTCTCTTCGTTCTCCACTCTCTTCCTCCTTGGCACCGCCGGGCAGAGGGGGTGTAAAATGCTCTCCGTTCTCTGCTAACCCCACTGGCAGTGGTTTAGATTGACCTCGTACAGAGGCAGAGGACTTGAGATGCAGGGCAGTGCAGGATCAAACCCTTCGGGGCAGAACTGGCTTTCTTTCACTGGGTTGCATTTGGCCTATGACGGAGAAGCATAATGTGCTGAGTGCTCAGAAAGATTCCACTATCTGCCCCCCACATCAGAACAGAGCAAGCTGTGTTGACGGTGAATCATATGGTGTCTGAGGACCCTAAGGCCTTGTCCACAACGTGGTGAATTGATGCTACAGCGATCGATCCATCGGCCATCGATTTATCATGTCTGCTTAGACATGATAAATAGATGTCCGAGCACGTGCCCGTTGACGCCGGTACACCACCAAGACGAGAAGAGTAGCTGGCAGTGACGGGAGAGCAGCCCCTGCCGACCTTACCTCATAGAAAACACTGCGATATGCATGCCGATTTCAGGGACGCAATCAGCGTCGCTGAAGTAGATTGGCGGGGCCAGTCAGTGCAGACAAGGCCATAATGAGGTGTTCTCTAGTGCTTAGAAGAGTGCGCCTGCAGGACACCACATTCACAGACCCGTGTGTCACGGACATGACGGGAGAGCAGCCCCTGCCGACCTTACCTCATAGAAAACACTGCGATATGCATGCCGATTTCAGGGACGCAATCAGCGTCGCTGAAGTAGATTGGCGGGGCCAGTCAGTGCAGACAAGGCCATAATGAGGTGTTCTCTAGTGCTTAGAAGAGTGCGCCTGCAGGACACCACATTCACAGACCCGTGTGTCACGGACATGCTCCCCTCTACAATGTGAGAGTTCACACACTGAACCGTTGGCTAAAGAAGGACATTTTACCGAG